TACACTTTAATGTTTCAGATCATCAAACTAATTTAAATATCAGTCAAAGATAACACAACTAAACACATCTTGTAGATATTAAATGAAGGTTTTTTTATTAAGGAAAATCAAATACAAAACTACAAGGCCCTTAAATACATAGGACTACAAAAAGTGGTCCAAAACACACCAGCAGCACATCCACTTCTAAATGGCTAAAGAAAATAAAGACTTTGGAGTGACCTAGTCAAAATCCTGACCTGAATCCAATTGAGATATTGTGGCATGACTTTAAAAGGGGGGTTCCAATAGGGCAAAATTACAACAATTCTGCAAAGATGAGCCAAAATAGCGCTGTAACAGACTCATTGCGAATGATCAAACACCAGTTGATTTGTTGCTGCTAAATTTAGCCCAACCAGTTATTAGTTATATGGAGCAAACAAATTTTCCCAATTTTCCCAATGCATAAAACATTCAGTTTGATTTTTGAATTTGTCTGCTTTAGAAAAAAAAAAAAAAACTCACTGAACACTCCACATGCCATGCCAATATCACAACTGCAAATAGCTATATACAATTATTGTGTGGATATACATTTTTTCCAGTATGCATGGGTTGGAAATTACATGACACTCTACATCAATTTGTACCAAAAAGTCTCTTGGTGTTCCCGCAGTGTTTTACACCTTTACCAAAGTCAAAATTACACACTTTAAGCATTTTATAGGTGCATTTTCAAAATGTTCCAGCACAATGTTTCCAGCACAAGTGTGGCAAACTGTATATTTACACAAATATTAATGATATGCAAGCCGATCACGTAATCGGAAACTAGGCCCGATCACACGGTTTCAGACTCGATCGGAATCGGATGTTACCTCCCGATAAGGACTCGAATATAAAGTATTTATGTTATTCATTACTTGATTGCTCAAGCTACCTCACAGAAGTGCTCTGTTTGTTAAGAGAGTTGTTGAATGTTAAAATAAGGTGAACAAAAAAAAAATATACACACACATATATATATATATATATATATATATATATATATATATATATCAAGAACATCCCTGATCTGTTTCTTTGCTCTTCTTTATTCTTTTTTTTTAAGCATTATAGAAGAATCGGATCAGCTTTTGGTATCGGCAGAAACTCAAAATCAAATGACTCGAAGGTCAAAAAAAATGGGACATCCCTTATACATACACAGATGGTACTTACCATATTATGTAATAGTATAGCATACTAGAAACTATTTTTGAAGGCATGTTTTCCCTCAAGCCCAACATTGAATTGCTATCGTTTACTATCTTAAATGTCATTTCATGCGTCTTTCATCTTAAATTTAAATGTATTTTCATTTCAAAATACAAAAACGACGGGCAGATTACAGTATAGATAAATGTCCAGACTTGAGCTTTCATTTTACGCAAAATCAAAAAGATTTGTCATTTAATAATGACTTGCTATTACATATATAAAAAAACATATTATTTTGTAAGCAAAACAATTACATTTACAAGCACTTCATCCAAAATTGAAGCACTTTTCAAACTTTTCAAAACACTAGATTCAAACTCAAGCATTTTCAAGGATTTCCAGCACCCGTACAAACCCTGTGTAGAACACAAAACACATCAAAACAGTATACTAAAAACAGCAAAAGGCTAAAAGCTTTATGGTTCCATTATATCACGTCATAAAATCGTAATGAACGGAACACATAGGAAAGAATGACAGCAAAATTCCAAAAGCAACACCTACATCGAGACCACAGTGTCCATCATGATTTCAAGCTGTTCCGTGAACACAGAATCACACATTTACCAATGCAAGTAAACCCAAGCTTGGAAACACAACCCGTTGGCTATATGGTGCTGTTATGCAGATAAACAATTAGAAGACCTCTCTCTGTTTGCGGACATAAAAAGCTCCATGAACCAGGGGCTCCAGATTGATTTGTTTGCATTGCGGTCGTGCCGTAGACTTTAATGCAACCAAAGCTCCTGCTCCCTCTAAACAGGCACCCCTCGCAACCATAAAACCACCGCATCGCAAACAATACAGAAGACACTGGTTAAGGACCTGGATGTGCAGAGACGGTTTGTACGAAAAACCTTTTATTAGGCTGAACACCCGTCGTAAAACAAAATTGCAGACAAGTTCCACAGAAACATGACATCAGCACTGAGAAAGCATTTTCTTCTTGGAGATATACGTGACGATACTTAGCGCACTTATCATAGCTGAAGGAAGGACGTGCATGGAAGATAAGTGGAGAAGGCCGTGCATGTGTGTTTGGTTAAGCTGCGCCTAATCACAAGCATTCTTTTATGAACTTAAATGAGTAATGATAAAAGCCCCGGTGAGGGCAATATAGATATTTACACAAGACAAGCAGATGCATTTATAGTTAAATGTTGGATGTTCATAGCTAATTCTTTCAACTGCTTTGTTACCTGATGCTCTCGAGATGAAATATGCACTTTTAAAAGTAAAATTCAATAACTTTTAAGACCTTATTGTTAAGATTATTTCAGACCTCATCGCCACTTTATGTTTTAACCGGTTATTTTGGCAACATTTGAACTTAGTTCACTGGCCACTTTATTAGGTACACCTTACTAGCACCTGGTTGGACCTACTTTTGCCATCAGAACTGCCTTAATCCATCATTGCATAGATTTAACAAGGTACTGGAAATATTCCTCTGACATTTTGGTCCATATTGACATGATAGCATCATGCAGTTGCTGCAGATGACATCCATGATGTGCATCTCTCGTTCCACCACATCCCAAAGGTGCTCTATTTGATTGAGATCTGGTGATTGTGGAGGCCATTTGAGTACAGTAAACTCATTGTCATGTTCAAGAAAGCAGAATGAGATGATTCATGCTTTATAACATGGTGCGTTATTCTGCTGGATATGGCCATCAGAAGATGAGTACACTGTGGTCATAAAGGGATGGACTTGGTTAGCAACAATACTCAGGTAGGCTGTGGTGTTGACACGATGCTCAATTGGTACTAATGGGCTCAAAGTGTGCCAAGAAAATATTCCCCACACCGTTACACCACCAGCCTGAACCGTTGATACAAGGCAGGATGCATCCAAGCTTTTGCGTTGCTGACGGCAAATTCTGACCCTACCATCCGAATGTCACAGCAGAAATTGACCAGGCAATGCTTTTCCAATCTTCTATTACCCAATTTTGGTGAGCCTGTGTGAATTGTGGCCTTAGTTTCCTCTTCTTAGCTGACAAGAGTGGCACTCAGTGGGGTCTTCTGCTGCTGTAGCCCATCTGCCTCAAGTTTAGATGTGTTGTGCTTTCAGAGATGCTCTTCTGCACACCTCTGTTGTACCAAGTGAATATTTGAGTACTGTTGCCTTTCTAACAGCTCAAACTAGTCTGGCCATTCTCCTCAGACCTCTGGCATCAACAAGGCATTTGTGCCCACACAATTGCTGCTCACTGGATATTTTCTCTTTTTCTGACCATTCTCTGTAAGCCATAGATATGATTGTGCGTGAAACTCCAAGTACATCAGCAGTTTCTGAAATACTCACACCAGCCCATCTGACACCGGCAACCTTGCCCTATTCAAAGTCACTTAAATCACCATTCTTCCCCATTCTGATGCTCGGTTTGAACATGTCTACATGCCTAAATGTATTGAGTTGCTGCATTGTGATTGGCTGATTTGAAATTTGCATAAACGAGCAGTTAATAAGTTGTACCTAATAAAGTAGCCGGTGAGTGTATTTACTAAATATAGCTTGAGACAAAGCATAACTAAAAAGTCTTGTGAGCTTGTGATAATTCCTTATCAATATAATTTATTTTGGAAGGTTTAGAATAAAAAAAAAAGATAATTATTTACCTTACTACCACTATGAAAGTTTTAGAAGAAATACAAAACAGTAAGAAGAAAACTATATGTGAGGCTCCAGCAAACGTTTTGACATTAAAATGGATTAAGAAAACTTTAGACTCTCATTTAACACAAATCAACACATTTATTTATAAAGACACTGATGTAGTGATCTTGATTTTTGATGGGCAACTGTGTTTATTTGCTAGCAAATTGGCTAGTAAATTAATTAAAATAATTTCAAATCATCGTTTCTTGAGCAGCAAATTAGCATTTATCTTTTTCATGATGACAGTAAACAATATTTTATTAGATATTTATCAAGACACTTCTATACAGCTTAAAGTTACATCTAAAGGCTTAACTAGGTTAATTAGGGTAACTAGGCAGGTTAGGGTAATTAGGCAAGTTATTGTATATCGATGGTTGGTTCTGTAGACTGTGAAAATTTCCTTGCTTTGTTTAACATCATTGGGAAAATATTAAAAAAAAAAAAAAAAAAAACATTCAAAGGGGGACTAATAATTCTGACTTCATTTGTGTGTGTTTGTGTGTGTGTGTGTGTGTGTGTGTGTGTGTGTGTGTATATATATATATATATATATATATATATATATATATATATATATATATATTATATTATATTATATTCTAATGCTATTTAGAAAAGTAAATCGCAAAGCAAAAAAAATAAATAAATAAAATCGTAAAATTGGTGTAGACTTACAAAGACTTGTAATTAAAATTAATAAAACCAAAAATGGGTAACACTTTAGTTCAAGGAACAATTCACACCATTTATTACTGGCTTATTACCTGCCAATTGTTATGATATTAACTGTTTATTATCACTTATAAAATATGATTTATTTTAAATTTCTAATCCTAGCCAATTCCTAAACCCAACTACAATAAATAAACTGCTAATTAGTAGTTTATGGAGTTAAAAGTCTTAATGGTTTGTTAATAGCATGGATTTTACATTAAATTAAATTTGACCCAAAAATGTTTAAATCATAGTTTATAATACATTACCATAACAATGTTAATACAGCATATGCCTGGATTAGATTATATTCTGAGGTCATCATATTTTGAATATTCATTTGCATCAGATATTACTCGCATTCAGTATTAGTTACCTTAATCCTGTGGTTACTGGTGTTTCCTGAAGTTGATAGAAACTGTGGTATTTAGCTGCTTGCAGAAGCTCAGGGTCCATGGTTTTGGATGCATCATAGTAGTGACCAAACCTTGAAGAGGATGCCAATGCGGTCTAAAAAAATGGATCAAGTAACAAAAATAAGATTTTAAAGGATAAAAAATAATAATAAAATTCCCTGTACATAGGCATGGCTTATTTATTTTTTATTTAAAATAAAAAGATTATCATACAATTTCACCCTATCAGATTTAGAGAAGACACCCTCAACAATATCATTAGTTGTCAATTGTACATATTTAGAAGAACAAGAATCACATACTAAAATACTATAAAGAATCTTTTTTAGAAGACTTTTAAAGAATTGTTACTTTTAAAATTATAAATAAATAAATTATTATTTCAAATTATAAGCCTCATCATGAATCATATAATCATTTAGTATGATTGGATACATTTTTTAAAGTACAATTCAGAATAAACGTCATTTTATTTTCATGTTTACAAGTCAACAAGACTTTATTTCACTTCTATTTTGCCATTTTATTTCAACTCAAGTTTACTGAAACATGAAAGACAGGCATTTAATATGCTAACAACACCCAAATTGCATGTGTTCATTTAAAAAAAAAAAAAAAAAAATGACTGTCCCTTCAAAAAATACTGTATAATAATATAAAAAACAACAACACTGATTTACTTGTAGCATGAGAACATGTTCAACAGTTCCTACAGATACTTAAGTATATATTTGATTTAAGCATGTGACCCTGGTCCACAAAACCATACAAAAATACAGTCAAAAGTATTTATTTATTATTACACATTTATTTTTATGATGCCAACAATTATTTAAATATCAAGTACAGATCATGCTCTATGAAGATAATTTGAAACTTTCCTAGTGTAAATATATTAAAACTTATTTTTGTTTGGTAATATGCATAGCTAATTTCCTTCATTCATTTTCTTTTCAGCTTAGTCCCTTTATTAATCAGGGGTCACCATAGCGTTGAACCGCCAACTTTTCCAGCATATGTTTTATGCAGCGGATGACCTTCCAGCTGCAACCCAACACTGGGGAACACCCATACACTCTCATTCACACTCATATATGGACAATTTAGCTTACCCAATTCACCTATACCACATGTCTATAGACTGAGGGGAGCACCCGGAGGAAACCCATGCACGCCAACACGATGAGAACATGCAAACTCCACATAAAAATGCCAACTGGCCCAGCTGGGACTCGAACCAGTGACCTTCTTGCCTGAGAGGCGATTGTGCTACCCGCTGCACCACCGTTACGCCGCATAGCTAATTTGATCAACTTTAAAGGTGATTTTCTCAATGTTTTTTTCGAAATCCTCAGATTCAATCAATGGAAAGCAGATTTATTCAGCTTTTGGGATTGCACGTATTAATCTCAAGTTAAGAAAATTAAATTACTTAAATCTGGTGATGCAGAATTAAAAAAGGATAGTTCGCCTCCAAAAAATAAAAACTCGACCACTATTTACACTCCCACAAGTGTTTCTAAACCTTTACCGGTTTCTCTCATCTGTCTCTCTCACACTCACTCACTCACTCACTCACTCACACACTCACTCACACACTCACACACTCACACACTCACACACACACACACACACACACACACACACACACACACACACACACACACACACACACACACACACACACACACACACACACACACACACACACACACACACACACACACACACACAAAAAAAAAGAGTTTGAAGAAAGCTGAAAACCTGCAACCATTGACTTTTAAATAACAAATATTATGAAAGTCAATAGTTACGAGTGTTCAACAGAACAAAGAAAGCCATAAAGGTTGGGAATAAGTGAAGGATATATTAATGATGGGAGAATTTTCTTTTTTTTTTTTCTTCTTTTTTTTCATCCCTTTAAAAACAGAAATGGAAATGATAAAAAGGTAATTCTTTATACCAATAAATAATAATAAATAAACTGATTCACCTACAGTCAAGCCTGGGTTATGAATAATTTCGGGCTTGATTGTATATGAACAAATGATCAATCTACACAATAAAATAACAAGAATATAAATCACACAAAACACGGTGACGTCCAAAAATCATTAATGAAACCCAGTTGATTCATTAACCCATTAAGAAAATAGTGACTAACAAAACCGACAACTTAGGCTTAGAAAAACAGACTCGCACACAGCCGAACTATTTTCCTAAGGTTGCGAGGGGTCTGCATTTGTCTCCAGAGTTTCTAATGAGCCCCTAATCTTCTCCTGATCTGGCTCAGCGACCCCTCTGTGTTTGGCACCTCCTCTGGAGATTGACAGCTTGGTGCTCATCCTCGTTTAGTGGGCCGGTCGGGTCGACCCCTTTAACGTTTCGCCATGGGTTTTGACTGGCTGAACTTTGATCTGGCGTCTCCATTGAGGGGCAGAAACGAGGGGGAAGCTCTATGTTTAGGATGCAAATCCCTTACTAAATTTACTGGTGCTTTGTGAGGAGAACAGAGGTATGATAAAGGTTAAGGAGGGTAAGTATCCCCTCTGAGATGAGGAGGAAGACAGGGTGATAGGGAAGACGAAATAAGGAAACGAGACTGAAAATATCCAATGTGAAGGAGGGGGAAAGAGGAAGAGCAAAATTAGTAAGTGATGTTTTTGTATTAAGTGAGTAAAGGTTGACTACCAGGTGAATGCAGGAGACTGGAAATGCAAGTTGCTTTTAAGCTGTGATCTTAAAATTAAAGTTTGTTGAAATTTGTCTTGTGAATTTGAACAACGTAAAATACATTTAATCAACACTATTGGTTCTGTTGAACACAAAAGAAGATATTTTGAAGAATGTTGGAAACCTGTAACCACTGACTTCTGGTAGTATTATGGATGTTGATGGTTACAGGTTAAATACATTCTTCAAAATATCTTCAATAGAACAAAGAAACTGATTTGGAACAAGGCATGGCTGAGTAAATGATGGCAGAATATAATTTTTTAGGGGATTCCGTTTTATTCCCAGATGGTTTGACATCTCTATAACTGACATGTTAAACTGAAAACTGAAAATTTAAAATCATGGCGTTATCAATATAAATTTTAACCAAATAACATGTGCATCAACGAATGCAAGTAGAACATAAATAACCAGCAAATATTTCTGAATTTAAATTCATTAAACAGCAAAGAATCTTTTGTGTTGCTTCTGTAAAAAAGGAATAATTATTTAATTATTTTGTCTCTTTTTCTTTTCATTAAACCATTATATTGCTTAAAGGTGACATATTAACTGAACTACTGCTGAGTGAGATATGTTTTGCATATTAATGAAGCATTTTTGCAGAATAGATGAAGCTGATGCAAAGAAATGCAAAGGCCTGATTGTCTAAAATTAACTTGAGCTCTGCAGCGAAACTTCCTGTGAGCAGAGATGCATTGAAACTGAACACAGAATATGTGCAGTTGAGAAGTCTTATGCTTTCAATGTTGTGCAGAGAATACATAGAAAAAGAGGAAGTATGTATGGGTTCAGCCAATGGAGGACTGGAGAATGACTGACAAGTGACGAATTTCACTAAAGGCCATCTGTCAATATCAGCTGTGTATAAATTCAGAGTCAGGAAATGTAAAATGGTTGTGTACCTCCTGAATGCAACTTTGCATTAAATTGAGGATACCCAAAATTCTGTAATGGAATTTTTTTTTTTATCCAAATAAATTACTATGATTTTTGACATTGAAGAAAAACCTCTCCTGACTTTTTTTATTGCAAACGCATGGATATGATTAAATATTCCAACACTTCCTACAATACTACACCAACTAAGTTAACTAAGTTACAATATGCTTATAAAAAATAAAATGACGATACTGGAAATATTTAAGGAAACAACCAATTTCAAATACAAATATGGTTAACTATTCCTCTCTGACTTTCTTACAGCAACTCAGGTAATAATAATGGTATCACCCATTTCAAATGTAAAATCAGTAAGGTATGGAAAAACATCTTCATATTTCTAAGTAAAACTTTCTATTAAGTTTTAGTAAATTGGTTGCATGCTTTTGTCATTTTTATTATTTGCTTTTACAACATGTCTTTCGATTAACATGTTATTTGTCAAGGTAACATCTCAGACATATTGGGCATCAATCTAAACCCAAATCCACATATCGCTATTTTTGAGAAACCCCCAGATGATTTTCATGTCACAAACATTCAAAATAATGTCATTGCCTTTTCCTCCCATGTTGCTCGTAAAAGAATTGTCTTAATTTGGAAATCACACCAACCACCCTCAATCAAAGTCTGGTTACGTGACATTTTAAGTCTTCGGAAATTGGAGAAGATTAAGAAGATTTTATTTACTTATTTAATTTACTACCCATATTGTTTCTTTCTTTCTCTTTCTTTCTTTCTTTCTTTCTTTCTTTCTTTCTTTCTTTCTTTCTTTCTTTCTTTCTTTCTTTCTTTCTTTCTTTCTTTCTTTCTTTCTTTCTTTCTTTCTTTCTTTCTATCTATCTATCTATCTATAAATTGGACATTTGTATACAATGAATGCTATTAACTTGTGTTCAATAATAAAGTTTATAAAACAAATGACTGCAATTAGACTAAATAAAAGTTCTATTTTTCAAATTAAAATATTATTTGTACTAAATTAAAGTGATTTCATTCCAAGTAACAAACATTAATTTATTTATGTTTTTTAGTTATGAGCTATGACTACATTACAACTGCAACCATGGTCACATGATCCTTCAGTAATCATTGCAATATACTAATCTGTAGCACAAGAAACATAATTATACCAAATGGTGAAAATAGTTAATGCTGCTTAAAAGTGTTTTGGAAACAGCTCTTTTTCTCCATGGAGCAAGGTAAAAAAAAAAAAAAAAAAGAGTGAAAGTAGTCCAAAATCACAGACAGAAAGAGTGAAATGTCAGGGGACTCACTGGTGTCCCCCTTAATCTCCATAGCAATCTGGATTATGGGGAGGCAGGAGGGGTCTTTTCTCCGAGCGGAAGAAAGAGGGGTGAACGGGCGCCATGGCAGAGCCTGTGAAGGGATTTGGGGGAGCAGGAGGCTGCTGTTCCTTTGTAAAAGGCTTGAGCTTGAATAGAGCCTCCATGTCCTCCTGTCTCTTCGGGTTTTAAGTCCACCTATAACCAGCTAAGCGCGAGTAATCCACCTAAACTGTGAATGAGAGCATCCCAAAGCCCATTCACAGCACTGGGTGGGTAGGAATTGATATATTTATTATAGGACACTATTTTCCCACCCCCACCTCTTTAGTTTATAAAAAAAGTGGCTGGGTTGTCAGTCTGCTCTGGTAGGCCCCAATCCGTTGTTGTTGTTGATTTTTTTTTGTATCCATATTCAATTTTGTTTTTGTCCAGGAATTTTAAAGCCTTAATGTAATTTGAATAATCTAAAAGCTATGAAATGCATTTTATTTTCTTTAAGAAATTGAATTTAATTGTTTTGATTGGTTGTCATAATTGAGCTGCTATGCGTCCCTTTCTATGTTATAATAGTTTTTCTCCAATAAACGTGTATAATGCTTGTGAATGGACCCACAGAGCAGCTCTGAAGATGAAGTTTGTTGTACATGTTCTCGAAAGGAAAGGAAAGCAAAGCAAAGCAATGGTTAGGGATCAATCGGGATTGTTCGAATGGAACCAATGAGACTGGATGGAATGGAACAGGATGGAATGGAAATGATGGAAATGAACGAATAATGTGAAACAGAACTAAAGGAATGAGATCAACTGGGATTGTTGGAATGGAACTAATGAGACTGGATGGAATGGAACAGAATAAAATGGAAAAGATTGAAAGCAAAGGAAAAGGTAGAAGAGAACAAAAGAAATGGGATCAATTGGGATTGTTGAAATGGGACCAATGAGATTGGATAGAACAGAATAGAATGAAATGAAAAGGATAAGGTGGAGCAGAACAAAGGATCAATTGGTATGAAACAGAACGGAACAGAATAGAATAGATAAAACTGGATAGAATGGTACAAAATGGATGGTACAAAACAGAACAAAACATAGGAAAGTTTGTGTTGTGCAGAACATAGGAAGTTGTACACGTTCTTGTATAGTGGGAAGACAGATGCTAAAAACACCATGGGTTTTAGTCATGATTGAGTATGCGTGAAGTATAATGAGCTCTGCATTTCATTAATGCAGAAGTGTAAAAGGAAAGCAAAGAAAGGATGGGATGAAGTGGAACAGTATGAAATGACTGGAATAAACTGGGATTGATGGAATGGAACCAATGAGATTGAATAGAACAGAACAGAACGGATTAAAATAAAAGGAAAGGGTGGAAAAAACAAAAGCAATGGGATCAATTGGGATTGTTGAAATGGAACCAATGACACTGGAGGGAATGGAACAGAACAGAATGGAATGGATTAAAAGGAAAGAGTGGAACAGAAAAAAGTAATGGGACCAAATGGGATTGTTGGAATAGAACCAATGAGACTGGATGGAATGGAACAGGATGAATACAAAAGGAAAGGGTGCAACAGAACAAAAAGAATGGAATCAATTGGGATTGTTGAAATGGAACCAATGAGACTGGATGGAATGGAAGAGAATAGAATGGAAATTGTGGAAAGGAAAGAATAAGGTGGAACAGAAGAAAAGGAATGGGATCAACTGGGATTGTTGGAATGGAACCGATGAGATTAGATTAAATAGAATACACTGCATTGGAATGAAAGGATAAGGGAACAGAACAAAAAGAATAGGATCAATTGGGATCGTTGGAATGAAACCAATGAGATTGGATAGAATGTAACAGAATAGAATGAAATGGAATGGATTGAAAAGAAAGAAAAGGATAAGGTGGAACAGAAGAAGGGATAAATTGGGATGGAACAGAACAGAATAGAAAAGATAAAACTGGATAGAATGGTACAGAATGGACTAGATTGAAAAAAAACCGGAAAGGAATGAAAAATAACAGAACAGAACATAGGAAAGAAAAAAAGAAAGAAGGGGTGGGATGAAATGGGATGGAGTGAAACAAAATGGAAAGGAATGGAAAAGATTGAGATTATTGGATTGGAATGGAAAGAAACAGAAAAAAACTGAATGGAACAAAACAGAAAAAAATGATTGAAAGAAACAGAAAGGAATGGAACAATGGGATAGTTAATGATTGATGGAATTGAATGGTCTAGAATGGAATTTGATGGAATGGAACATAAAGGAAAGGAAAGGAAAAGAAAAGGAAAATGACAGGAAAAGATATGAAAATGACAGGAAAAGACGGGACAGGAAAGGTAAAGCAAAATAAAATAAAAAATTTAAATGTAAAAGAAATTAAATGAAGTGGACAAGAAAAGGGAAGAGAAGTAAAGGAAAAGTACAGGACAGGAAAAAGGAAAAGCAAAGAAAAAGGAAAAGGACAGGACAGAAAAGGGAAAAGGGAAAGTAAAGGTTTTAATACCTTCACACAAGGTCACGTTAGTGAACATTAGGTGCATTAACAAATTATACAAAACACGTTCGTTTGCCACAGGGCATCTGACATAAAACTAAAGCAATAGCAGGAGAGAACCGCTATTTTGTTAAAGGCCAATCGATTTAAGCCAGACGTTTATCAAATGACATCGAATACACCGGTATACATGTTTGTTGGACTTCTCAATGTTTTACACAATAAAAGTAGTGTTTTCCTAACAGATGGTCTGTTACCTGAACTCTGGGCTGGTTCTGGTAGCGCCAGGCGATTTTCATTGTGTCTGGATTGTCTGGGTCATTTGGCTGCGATTGACCCTCACTCATTTTCATGCTGGCCACATCATCCAGAATTGGAGAAGGGAGTTCCTATTTCAGAAAATATACAGATATTAATAAAAATGTCACCATGAATTGAAAATTGACAAGCATTATTTTAACTAAATATTGTGATACTATAAATGATGTACAGTAAATAAAATTATTTATTGGATTTAGCAAATCACAACCATCTAACCAATTCTCATTAGACACAAATCAAGACCTGCCCTACATTTTTTTCCATTTCATTCATACAGTATAGATCACAACAGGGAAAAATTGTGCCATACTTAAAACTGTGATTATACAGATAATAAAGATATAAAGAAAAAGACTAATTTCAGAACTTAACTGTTGTAATGAAAAAAAACTTTAACAACAAAATAAAACCAAGAAAAGATGCGAATGAAGCAACAACTAAAAGAAGTAATGACCTTAACTTTAAAGTCTTATAAAGCAAAAAATTATTAAAAACTTAATTAAAATAAAAATTACAATTAAATTAAAATATAAAAAACATAATTTTAAAAAACACTTAATTCAATTAATAAGTAAAATAAAATGAAATAAAAATATAAAAACACAGGACAAAAACTCTAAATAAAAAGGTAAAATAAAATGAAATAAGACATGATATAAAAGTTATATAACATTAATACATTTAAAACAATATAAAAAACAATAAAAAAATTAAATAAATAAAAATATAAAATTAAAATGAAAAGAAATTCTGAAATCATATTTTAGAAACAATTTTACTATACATTTCAAAAATAATAATTGTTAAAAAATTATAAATTAAAATGACAATTTATATTTTTACATTAAAAAAAATGCTGTACCCAAGAAGCAAGATAAGGTGAAATTCAAATGTAAAAAACAAAGCAATTCTGAAACCACATAATTTTTTTCATAATAAACCATTTTTACTAAACATTTTGATAATAAATTTTCTTTTAAAAGTAAGAAAAAATTTAATAATATTTTTTATTTTTGCATAAAAAAATATTTGCTGCACTTAAAGTTAAATAAAATGAAATACAAATAAAACGCAAAAAATACCTTTTTTATTAAAATAAAATTTAATTATGTAATGAAATTAAATTAAACTATTAAAAAATTATATGAAAGTAAAATTAAATCAATTAAAATAAAACAATATAAAAATAATATTAAGATATGAAATTAAAATGTAAATAAAACCTAGAGAAATTTTGAAATCATATTCTAGAAAAATAACTTTAACTATACATTTAAATAACGATAGTTAATTTAACAGTTAATAAATATCAATAACAATAATAATAATATTATTAATAATACTCTGATGTGTCCATAGTTAAATTCAGGCTAAGTATTGTTTTCCCTTATATCTAGTTACAAATTTTAACCCACTCTTTTGTCCAGTGCTTAACTATGAAATGGAAAATGAATATCAAGTGAGCCGTTTTAACAAGGCCAAAAATACGAACAAACACATCAAAATGGTGTGAGCAGTTTAGAAGCTGTTGTTTAAACAACATGCTTGATCCTGTCGTTAATGTTAAAAAATGCCAAAATTAAGGTGCCAACACTGTCTCTTAAGGCAACATTCATACAGACCACGCAATAACAAAAAACAGAGACTGTTTCACAAATAACAGCCGAGTCCAGGAAGAGTCTGAAGGGCAACAACAGGCCCTCATTAGGCTCATGTTGACTGGGGGCCAATAAGGGGACCGGCGAGAGACCAACCTCTGTCCACTGTCATTAAGAGGAAACTCGTTAACACTCACAGGTAAATCCCTGAGCTCCGACACAAACAAACTCATGTATCACAGTGTCAAAAAGAGACACAAACACTAGTGTACTGCTTAAAGAACACTGAAAACCAAAGGCAGTACACACTTTGCTAATACAGTCCATTAAAAGTATGTTTTATACACATCTAAATATATATTTTTAAGTGCTGCATATTCCAAATATCGTTGCCATATTTTCTTGAAAAGATTCAAAATAAATACAATGATTTAATTAATTAAATTTTAAAAATACCTAATAATATAAAATAATAATATAATAAAATTAAATAATGATGCATGCAAAAATTCAAAATAATGTAAAAAAATATTATATATATATATATATATATATATATATATATATATATATATATATATACATACACACACACACACACACACACACACACACATATATATATATCTTGATTTTAAAAAATAGATTAAACAATAGCCTAAAAAATTAATTAAAAAAATTAATTAAAAAAATTATAAAGCTAGATCTGGATGAATCAATATATTTTAATGAATTATGACAATCATCAAAATAAAATAAAAAAAATGATTAAATAAATGAAAAATAAATAAATAAATAAATTAATTAATTAATTAGTTAGACAATCAATTAAATAAAGAGGCCTAAAATACAATTTAGGTTTTCATTTTTATATAAAATACAAACTAAATGCTGTAATCGAGAAGCAACAGAAGATGCTAATTGTGTCAAAAAAATAAATAAACAAATAACATAATGAAGTAAAAAAGACAAAATTATTTAACAAAAACAATAATAGTGGAGCAAGAAAAGATGCAGATTAAGTCAAAATACATTAAGACATTTAAAATAAGAAAGTTACTCTCTGCAAATTCTATTCAAATAACACACATTATATTATTATTGAAATTAAAATGGTCAATTACGTCAAAATATAAAAATATTAAATAATGAAATAAGAAAAAATTGTAAAAATATTTAAATGAATAAAAAAGAAAAGCAAATAAAGAAGCAAAAAGAGGTAGTGAAATGAAAAAAGAAACAAATATTGTGTGAAACAATAAAAGACGCAAATGATGTCAAAACAAAAAAATAAATAAATAATAAAATAATAATGTTATAAAATGAAATGATGCATGAGAAAAAAATGTTAAAATAAAAAAACTAAATAACCAAGCAAGAATAGAACATACAATATACAACAGAAAAGATGGAATACGCCAAAATAAAACAGAAAATGAAATAATGAACCCAAAGAAAGAGGTAAACGGCAGAATTTCCCCCAGAATCTAAAGACATGCGCTATAGGTAAATTGGATAAACTAAATTGTCCATAGTGTATGATTATGAGGCATAATGAGTGTGTATAAATGTTTCCCAGTGATGGGTTGCAGCTGAAAGGGCATCTGCTGCGTAAAACATATGCTGAATAAGTTGGCGGTTCATTCTGCTGTGGCGACCCCAGATTAATAAAGGGACTAAGCCGAAAAGACACTGAATGAATGAACTTCTGGTTACTTTATTTATCACACTGGTAATGTAAGGTCAATCTAAATAAAAAAAAAACTAGTTATAGCATATATTGCAACTAGCATTCAGTCCACAACAAACAACCAAAACACAAAAACAACAGTGTTTCAAAGTGTACACATGTAGAAGTCCAAACAAATACAGATAAATATGACTATGCCAGAAGCAGAATAATACACACAGACACAGTGTCATATTTGGTCACACCATTCCCAAAGCGGAGCATAATATTTGACTGATGAAGACACACGCCCTCTTCTCAAAGTGTATTGTTTTTGAGGGCCAGATCCTAGTTATACAATGGATTTTGATGCACTTGGAGTTCAAAGAAACAAAACACTCGGGCCAAGTGTCATAGTGTGAAAACCTGATTTACGTGTACTCGTACCTGCATGATCTGATCAGGATGATCTCGGGCAGATGCCAGGAAGAGTTCATGTCCACACACGATTCCCTCCGCCAGAAAGTACTTGAGTAGCATGCGGGAGTAGCTGTCATAGCGGTCCTCCTCTGTCAACACACACAGACAAAAACAATAAATATTTTATCCACATGAACACGAGTATTTTTTAAAAATCATACTTTTTTTTTTTTTTTTTTTTTTTTACATGGTTTTGCTGTTTGTCCACATGAATAGTACTATCAGGTGATTAAAACCGAAACTTTCTGAAAACATTGGCCAGGGTGAAGATTTTCTGAAACGCTGGGTACAGTGTGGTCGTGTGGACAGAGCTTTCACCCTTGATGTGATTGCTCGTTTTCTTGAGTGTGTCCTACTGAATCAGGTCCATATGTAGCTGGGGCTGAACGACTTTAGAGTTTTGGAAGTCTTTATGCTATTAAAGTCAAGTCGACGTTGACTAGTCGCTATTGAGATGCAAATATTTTGCAATATGCCACAATTTGCGATTTATTTGCAGGAAAAATATATTCACATGCTGTTTGACAGTTTATTACATACTGCAAAAACAATTCGACTTTACCAACGACTTATTTTAGTGCAAAACAAATGCAGTCAACACCTTAATTTCATAAATAACGCAACATTCACCTAGAAAGACATTTACAAATGCTATAAAGTTTGCCAAAACTATGCGGCAGCATGCATCACGGTTTCTGTGTGATTCACGGTTCTTTCACAAAATATATCAGCATCTACTTTTCGCAGAGAACAACAGCCAATCACATTACTTTTCCAGTGTTGCATTAACACAATTGGCTATCATCTGCTCTAATTTATTTGCATAGAACGATTTAACTGGCTGACATGTTTGACGATTTATGCTGCGTTCACACCAGACATAGATGAAGTACCAAGCGTTAGTGATTTACATTTTACATCAATGCAAAGACGCGAATAGACCTCCTGCCTTATGATTTGCACGAATGAGGTAGCGCAAATGACGCAATTCGCACAAATGAAGCAGCGCAAGTTAAGTGTTTTGAGTGTTTGACGCACATATCGTGAATCGATCTAGTTGAAAAGTCAGAACTTTCGAGCAGCTTTAACCAATCTGGAGCTTGCTCTTATTGGTGAGGGGATTATGACATATTGTCTGTTGTTGGCCTCCCGAGGGGAAATCCTCATCAAACTAGGCTCGGCTTAGTCGGAAGCACCACTGAACGTCTCCATCATCCAGGTACAGTTTCTGGAGGAGTTGATGAATTCAGAGAGCTGGGTGCACATCTAAAATCAGGACCTAGTGGACACAATGCTGAACGAATCTACAGTTTTTCAGCCTTCCTAAAGCACAAAAAGCACAGCTACTCTCTCAATAAAATCCATGTTAGCCATTTAGCAACGAAGCTAGAGTCACCAGGCAGACAGAAGCCCTGCCCATGACGTGAATCTGCTTCTATTGTGAAGTGAACTTGATGTGCAAATGAAGAGAGTAAACTCAAAATGTTCACGTGTATATTTATCGTATCGTGTTTTATTCGCGCGCAGCATCTGGTGTGAACACAGCATTAAAGTTCACTCAAAATTTATATGAATCCCTGATGCTGACATAAGAAAAATAACATTTAAATTAATTTCATTAATGCGAGGGCAGTTTGTTGAACAACCTTTGTGTGTAAGGCTGCCATGTAGTTCAGGTCAAAAGTCACATGATCTGAGGAGCGCGACTAATGGGACGCTTTTTAAATTAAGTGCCCGAAATTTTCTGTTTTTAAAGATGGGCATTAAAATGTGATGGTCCCAGCAGCAAAAATCTTGGGGAGTAGACAATGTAAAATATGTATTGTTCTCAGATGATGCCCCCTTCACTGCCTTACCAACATTCAGAAGAGTTACGATGTGGAGAAGCCCTCAAAAATGCATAAATGACTAAAAAAAGGATTGGAGCTCTTCTAAAAAACTGTTTTCTAAAAATCAGGTGTGTTAAATAAGAGAGACATGCAAAATGTTTAGATTGAGTAATTCTAATCTAGACATTAGTGATGGGAAGTTCTTGAACGATTTGTTCATTTTTAACAAATCTTTTATGTGACTGGAGAACAATGAGTCCTCTCAGGGAGTGATTCATTCATTCACTCATGTGCCCAATTGTGTAGGTGGAGAAGATTAGTTCATAGTTCGAGTCCTCTATCGGGTTTGAGTCTTAAGTTCATGACATGAATAACAGGAGCCAATCATATGCATTTAGAGCCAGAAAAAGATTTGAACCGTTTATTTCTTGAGTCCTCGGTTTAAGTCATCTCGTTGCATGCTGTTATGTGATGAACGAACGACTCTAAAACCCCAAGACTCAAAAGGTGACTATTTGTGAATCCTCTGGCTCAAACTGATTGCACTGGTTAAGCATATTTGATACTGTCACGTAAACGAACGACTTAAATTGGAAAACCTGTCAGAAGAGGTGAGCTGAACTTAAACAAAACACAAGGTAAACAATGAATGATCATTTTCTCTTTCTTATAGCATTCTAGTTATGACTTGTTTGTAGTGTGATCAACTCTGTGTTGGCTAGTTGTAGATGTGTTTGGAAGCAACCCGTAACATTTACATTTTATTTTGGCAAATTGAATGAAATGACTCAAAATAATTTCGATTATCTCAATGAATGAGACTCAAAGGGTCAGTAAAATGATCCAAACTTTTCATCACTACAAGACATATGCCGGTACTCAATTTAATAAATCATAATATATTCTCATTGTTGATTATGTTTCATTAATAATGCTGTTTATTTCATTAACTATAATTTACTAGTAATAATAATAATAATAATAATAACTAATTTATTTGTAAATGGCGCCTTTCTAGTCAACCGAGGTCGCCTTACAACAAGCATCAACAGCCATAAAAGAACAAATTAAAACAATTAATAAAACATTGCCAAAAACGCATTTTAAATGCATGTAAGGAGTTGCATTTACAAACACATTGTGAGTATAAAACGACATGATAAAAGATAGTCAAAAGAAAGCCTGCTTAATAAGATGGGCCTTGAGACAAGATTTAAACGTGTGAAGACTATCACTGCTCCTTAAATCCAGGGGAAGCGAGTTTCATAGCAGAGGAGCCATAGAGCTAAGATCCGTCTCCCATTGTGCTAAATCGAGTGCGAGATGGCACCAGGGAAAAAGAGTTGGCTGTTCTAAGAGTGCGAGAAGGGGTATAAATATGGAGAAGTTCGGTGAGATATTAAGAAGCAAGATTATGAAGTGCCTTGAAAGTTAGATGTAATGTTTTAAAATCAATACGAAACTTTACTAGAAGCCAGTGAAGCTGATAGAGAAGTGGTGTGACATGCTCATGAGATGAAGTCGAGATGACACGAGCTGCATGGTTTTGAACCAGTTGGAGTTCATGGAGAAGTTTAAAAGAAAGCCCATATAGAAATGCACTACAGTAGTCAAGACGTGAAGTAACTTATGGATGGATGAGAATTGCTGTGTTATTGATTGTGAGAGAAGGGCGGAGACGAGTGATTTTACGCAGGTGGAAACATGCAGTATGCATAATATTATTGATGTGACCTTCAAATGAGAGGGTGCTATCCAAGATGACACCCAAAGAATTGTGTGATTATCAATGTCTATTGTGAAATTTTCAACGTTATTCAAAACACTTTTAGTCCTGATGAGAAGAGCTTCAGTTTTGTCACTAATTAATTTTTTAAAAAGTTAACTGGAAGCCAGATTTTTTATTTCAGCTAAACATCTACTCAAAGCTGAAGAAGAAAATGAACTGGAGGGCTTAGTGGACAGGTAGAGTTCAGTGTCGTCAGCGTAGGAGTGAAGTTGTATGTTGTATTTTCTAAAAATGTGACCAAGTGGCAATAGATATATAATTAACAGGTGTAGACCTAGTACGGAACCTTGTGGGACACCAGTTTTGACAATCTGAGATTTTGACTTAAAATCCTTAATTTTGACAAACCGAGAACGTTCTATGAGATATAAATTAAACCATAAAAAGGGGTGAAAGAGATCCCTACAGAGGCAAACCTATTCAAAGGAACCTAGTGCGAAACTGTGGCAAAGGTTGCACTCAGGTCAAGAAGAATAAGAATTCTAAACAACGTCATTCTAAAATCAAGTAAGACTTTATTGTAAAATGTTACCTATTAAACTAAAAAAATATTTTGCAATTGTATTAAGTTGTAACATTTGTTTTCTCTGAACATGTATATACATTCATTCATTTTCTTTTCGCCCTTGATTAATCTGGGGTCGGAATTATTCACACAGCAAATAATTATAATTATAATTCACACAGCGATTAATTATAATCACAGCGGAATGAACCGCCCATGTATATACAATTAAGCAATATACTCAATAGCAATAATAAAAAATACTAGCAATACAGTTACTTCTTGCAATTTAGTCCAGTACAATACCCTATACATATGTATAGAAACAACATGACAACATGCATTATGTAAAAAAAGACAACAATGTTTAGTCTGGTTGCTAGCTATGCCAAACATGCAACCAACTTAGACGTACATGCCAAACGGTGTTTATAAACAGCAGGATCACCGGCCGGATTAATAGTAATGGATGTAATAGTGGAGGGGGTGATGGGAAGGTGAATGTTGGCTACACTGAATGGAAATGCTCTCATCTGACACAAACTCCCTCCTGTAGCTTAAAATGCACATATGTGTCCGTCATAGAGCAGAGGTGAGGAAAAGAGAAGAGAACACCTGTCTCGATGTATATACCATATCTTCAACACTTTACTACATCCTCAAGCTTCTGATAAACCTTTAGTGACTTAACCGCAATAGCATACTGTTCGGTTACACACAAAACATTACACATTGTTGATAGTAGTTCTGAGGTATTGAGATCAGGCCTGTCAGCTTTCATGTGCATATTATAAGAAGAAAATCAGAAGCTATTTATAATGCCTTCAAAATTACTATTTATTTTACTGTGGCTTCCCGTGTCATCTTTTCCATTTTGGGGGGGGTTCATACAATCCATTTAGATTTAGTTTACATGTTTTTGTGACATTTCCGGACTCAAATCATAAAAATGACATATTGTGGGTA